TTGAGGGACACTTAGGTTGCTTCCATCTCTTAGCTATTGTGAAAAGAGCAGCAACAAACATGGATGTACAAGTGTCTCTGCAACAGGATGAGTTCTTTGGGTATATGCCAAGGAGTGGTATAATTGGGTCAAATGGTAGGTTCATTTGTAGTTTTTTAAGAGTTCTCCACATTGCTTTCCATAGGGGCTGAACCAGTTTGCAGCCCCACCAGCAGTGGGTGAGTGTTCCCCTTTCCCCACATCCCCTCCAACACTTGGCATCATTTGTTCTCTTGATCTTAGCCAGTCTGACTGGGGTGAGGTGAAATCTTAAAGTGGTTTTAATTTGCATTTCCCTGATTATTAGTGATGTTGAACATCTTTTAAGATGTTTCATAGCCATCTTTACTTCTTCTTTTGCAAACATTCTGTTCAGCTCCTTAGCCCATCTTTCAATTGGGTTGCTTCTTGTTTTGGGTCTCTGTTTTTTAAGTTCATTATATATTCTGGTAATTAAACTGGATGATGCCAAGCTTAAAATTTTTTAAAAGCCCTCTTGTTTAAGAGGAAATTAACCAGGGTCCCATGTTCTTTTTCAAGGACATGCCTTCATTCCACTTAAGGACCTTACACTAGGCTCAACCTTTTGAAGGTTTTACCTCCCAACGTCACTACTTTGAAGACTAAGTTCCCAACATGTTCCTTGGGGATGTAAACCACATCTAAGCCATAAAAGATTCTTTGTTAATAGATTCTCTACCTTTAATGGTCAGAGACAAAAATAATTTAGCTATGAAGTATTAGTTTCCTTAAATGCAAAGCGAGAATTGTAACAGCTACTTTGGGGAGGCTGTGAGATTAAATGAGATGACTTTTAAAATGCCTAATACAGGTTGAAAGCAAAGCCTTAGTAGTAATTGCTATTGTGTTACAGATGATAAAGGAGAACGGCTTTGTAAGTTAGATTCTTTAAAATTTATTAACTTTGGGTTGGGGAGATGGTCCAGTACCTAGGTAAGAGTGATTGCTATGCAAGCATGAGGAATTAACTTTGAATCCCTACCACCCATGTAAAAAAAAAAAATCAGGCATGATTGCATGTGCCTGTAACCTCAG